CCACCTGGCCTGTATTGTTAACACATACAGCTCATACCAGCACTAGCTGGAGAATGGAACTCCAATATGTTACTTTCAAACAAGGATCTTGCTTTTGATATGTCTTTGTAACAGCATATTTCAGTTTCAGAGACTGCCCTAAATATTCAGTCATGCTCAGCTCAATTAATAAAAAAAGAATTCTTAAGTGGCTTTGTAACTTAATAAAATTGTAATATAATTTTATGCTATAGAAGTATTGATTACTACAAAGTGAAGATACTACTAAAATAATTATTCAGAGTAACAATCAGATTAATAATGGCTCAAAATAAATCTGTTTTGCCTAGGAAAAACCATCTAGATGCCCAGAAAAATCCATGGGGCAGTTATACTGGTGAAGATGTTATGTTAAATGAATCCAGAATTTCTGGTCTCAATCAAGAAAATAGCACATATCTGTGAGTGAAACAGGCATTCCCAAGGAAGCTCCAGGAACTGAACTTTATTGGCTCTTGTGATCCAGGAGAACTTGACAGGTTTTTGGCCTCCTGTAAGTCAAGTCTTGTTTCTGAAGAGACTTGGTTTTCAGAGGCATCCATCCAAAGGAATTAACAAAAAAATAAAATTAAGTCTCCAGTGAAAACCTCATTAAAAACTGTGATAAAATTATTAAATGCACTGCAAGACTCAATCTTGTTCTGGCAAACACACTGCAACTCTGCCGCCAAGTTCTAAAATTTTGTAAGCCCTGTCACAGGAGACAAATATTTCCATCCTCTCTAATTCCATTTCCTCATTAAAAAAAAAAAAAAGTACACTATCCTGCAGCTGAGAATCTCAATGTGTTTGGTAAACATTAGTATATCAGTGAAAAAAACAACTCATCCAATAGAGTACATCTGTAAATGCATGCAACAAATGTAGAAGGATACATTCCATTTGAGAAATACCACGAAAGAAATCAATCTCGACTTTCTATGTGCTGAATCAATCAGACACTTCAATATAGTGGCAAACAAGTACAACTTCAGTATTTATAAGCTAAATATTTGACATACTAAATTGCTCTGTGAAATATGGGAGCTAACAACCACCAATAACACTCTAAGTGTTCTTCAAAAATATGAAAAGAATTAAACCAAACATATTTTTAAAATACTTATTAAAAGTCAATTCAAGATGTAATCATGCTTAGAGATGGAGAGAATAAGAAATTTAGATTTCCTTTTTCTAGTCATACAAGGAAGGAAAACAAGAAAAAGGGCAATGGTGAATGAATGATTAAGAAAAAAACTTCTGTGAGAAGAATTTATTGAACAAGTACCTAGAAGTTGGGGAGATTTAATTATACATATATGGAATAAGGAAAAATGGGGGAAAAAAAGCAAGCTCAGGCTGTCATACTTTGCCTCTTATGTGACAGCATCTGAGTATTCAATATACAGCATCAATTTCAATTTAGGTACTTTTAAAATTGCACCCAGTCAGCTTAACAGCACATGACTGCCTCAATTACTCCTGAGGAGCTCTGACATGCCTGTGTGGCTGCAATAGTTACCAGGGTTAGCTCTTTCCATGTTTGAAATGACTTTTCCTTCTAGGAATGGAAATACATAAAGAGTCACCTAGAATTTATCAACATCCCAAGTCTTCAACATAGCAGTACTTGCCAATTTTTCCTCCCCTCTCTGAACACTGAGTTTACACAAGAATCTGAAGCTCCTGGGTGTTCTCTCAACTATGCAAAAAGTTAATTTTGGACTCTTAGAGGAAATTTCCATTGAACTTTCCCATATTTATATTTTCTGGGTGAATAAAGCAACTGAAAACACTGTTGTATTTTAGAAAACCGATTATAGAAATAAATTGTTTCTTGGTGAGTTCAGTTGTATCACGTACATGCTTTGTTCAATTAAAGAACACTTTACTTAAATGAAAGGTAGAAACTCTTGAGCAGAAAGTTACCTCATAGGGATTCTGAGATACTCCACTATATTCCCAGCAAAAGCCTTTAAAACATTTATCTGTACATTTTTTAAATCCCTGTATATGCCTACAGTATATCAAACAGATAGAGTGGGGAGAATTCTTAAAGAGGTCTGTATTACTTCACTGACCAGCCCCCATAGGAGCCTCATCTTCCCTCATCTTCTTCAATTGTTAGAGACTGGCTACCAGATCTGCTGGTTTCTAGAACATTGGATGCTTGCTCACAGTACTGATGGATTGATTATACTAATGAAGCTAAATATTCACAGTGAGGAATGCAATTCTGAGTTTTAATTTTACTAACAAATGTCAGTTATCCAGATGAGCATCAAACCAGCGAATGGAGTTATTTTGCAGCTGGTTGTCTTGAGAAATATTGCTTAATCACACATTCAGCTAACCAGCCAAGAATGTTCATTCTACAATTGCAAAATACTGATTCAGGATGAAAAACATCTCATCTTAGCCACAGTGTCCTTCTGTAACTCTAAGTACATCTTGTGGGCCAATATAGTCTTCTAAAAACATGCAAGAGAGGCACAAATGATGATCTCATTCACTGATCCCACTAGACACATATCTTTAAACCATTTTCCTTAACTCCTTGACTGAATACATAACTTGTGAAGCAGGGGTTTTAAGCTCACTTCACAACACAACACACAGAGATCCAACCAAATATAGAGAAAACTTACAGATTTAAACTGGATATTAAGATATTACCTTGCCAATTTCAGTGTTATAGTAATATAAGGATATGAATGTATGAATGATTAAAGTTCACTACATCTTTTCTTCCTTTTGTATGCTAACTGAAATGTCAATTTGTTCTTTGCAAATTCAACTTACAGAGGGATGTAACACTTAATACTAAATGAGCCACACCATAGAATATAGCCAAATAAAGTTGATTGCTTTTCACAGTCAGCTTTGGAAAAATTTACAACAAGCTTTCTCTTAGGGGAAAAATATATATATATGTATATATATATGTATATCTAACAGAATGCAGTGAAAGATGACAAAACATAGGTATTTCTTAAGTAGCAAAGAATCTGCCAAAGGGGACACTTTACAGACTTTTCTTCTGAGACCTCTGATGAACACTGGAATCAGCTGAGTGCTTGGAGAATGTAAGAGTAGGAAGTAAGCCACTGTGAACATAACTATTGGGAATTGCAGAGGAACAGTAAACATCCGACTTGGCTGATGATCTTCTTTCTTAACAAAAAATAACAACAAATTTTATGAGGTTCTTGTCATGAGATTCAGAAGACTGTAGATGTTTTTTCAGCCATCTTTACTTAAATGAGTCACTAAAACACTTATTTGACAGTGGTGAGGCAATCCAGCAGGACTAGATACAAAACAGACTTTTATAAATATCTTTCACATCTCCAAAGACAGTCAGTCATAAAAAACAAAGCTCACATGTAGCTGGGAAAGCAGTAGACAGTTGAATACAGCCAAGGCTGATTTCAGTAGCTCAAGAATACAACTGAATACTGAAAGGCGTGTCAGTGAAAAGTCCCTTAATATTTTTTCATACACCTTTCATTCATTAGCAGCTGAACTGCAGTGAAAAAATGTCAAATAGTAAATAGTAGGTTGTTCTATAAATAATACAGGGTTTTTTTAGGCTTAAAAGGTTAAGGAAACTATGTAAGTAGTTTGAAGTAGCGAAATAATTTAAGAAGTGAATTTGCTAATTTTCACTAAAGAGTGTAAATTCTTTATTTTTTAGATTTAACTTATCAACAAATTTAGCACTGTCTGGAAGGTTAATAAAGTTTCCATGATGATAACACTGATGTGAAAAAAGATGACTTCTCTTGCTAGGCGAGGCACCTAAAAGCCACAGATTGCTAAACAGGTTTAAGCAAGCATTCTTGAGGTATTTTTGAATTTTTTTCTCTCTATAGAAGTGGGAATTTTTGTATTGTGTAATTGGCCAGATGGTCGTGACTCATTCAGTCATAAGGCCAAAATGATTTTTACATTAATAACAAAACCTTGGAGCCCTAAGCCTTGTACCTCAAATACCTCCTGCTGAAGACAATGTCAGCAGCCATTTGTTCCTTTAGTCCTGCAAACCTCTTGTTTTTGATCAATGTAAAAAAAAAAAAAAACAACTGATGTAAAAAAATCCATTTCTCTTAACAGAATTATGCACATATGGCTCATCTATCTCTCTCTTCTTTTGCTGGAGAATAGAACAGAATGCTCCAAAGTATTGTTCCATTTTGTATTTGCAGCAAAGATGCATCACTGTTCACACTTCCAAGCCTCAGGAACTCTTTCTGACTGAAGTAAAAATATTGCCTTCACTATAGAGATTACCAACTTCTACAGGCCCTAAAGTCTGAATGTACTGCTGGTACACACAACGTTCTCAAATAGCAACCACCATAAATCTCAGACTCTGTAGGCTGAAGTTCAAGAGACAAAATTAAACAGAAGTCGACAGAAATTCTATCTCTTTCATACCACTTCCCCATCACTCTATAAATACAGATACCACATATAGAATAAAAGCACTCCAGTAGCCTAGGAAACCACAAATTATCAGGCAGTGAGACAGGTGCTTTGAGGATTATTATTTCTATAATGTTCATGCATACACACTTAACAAACCCTTAGACAGTATGCATTCTGTTTGCATATATGTGTGTGTATGTAGAACACCTATAATGTAAATACATCAGTAAAAGCCAATACTCTTAAAATTGATAAAACAAATTTAAGACAAATGATCCACTCTTTTATGGGGTTCTACCATGCAGTTTGGATTGCAAGAAAGTCAAAATAAGTTAACGAGAGTAAAAATGTATTCATGTTTAACACAATTAAAACAAGTATTTACCTTCTTAATACAACACAAATGATTGTTTAATGTAGACCAAAAGTTTAATTTGATTTATTTCAACTATTACAGTTTTGGCTCACATTCAGCAGTGTTAGAACCCCCCATGCAAAAATCTGCCAAGAAGAAAATAAGACACAATTACTTTTATTTGAAACTTACATACCTTGGCCTCCGAAATGCTAAACCATAATGCTGGCAAGCCAATCCCACAGTGGGAGTATAAACAATAGGCATGAACTTTTCAATGTCAGAAGTTAGCACTTTATAGAAAAGCTTTTCATTTCGATCCTGAAGACTCATTAGTAGAATATATCTGTGGAGAATTAAATATAATTAGGCAGGCATCAAGTGAATATATGAAGTAAATTCAGAAACAAAAAGGTGCCCGGATAATTAGTTAAAGCTATGTTTGTACTGCAACAGCCTCTTAGCCTCCTGTCTAGAATATTTAAATTCCTCTTTGTCTTAACGACAATACTGTTTCAGACATAAAGGATAACTAACTGGTTGAGACAGAGAGAAGCTGAAAATATCACAATGTCAGCATATTCTACACCACCACCAGGAAGTTAAACCTGAGCTGATCTGGGTATAAAACATTATGATGCAAGATAATTTTTAGTCTTTCAGAACCTAAACCCTATGAATAAAATATTTCTTTTGAATTAAATAGTTATTAAAAGAAAAATTAAACAAAATTACTCACTTGCAGGAAAACAAACAAACAAACAAACTAGAAAATACAGCTTTTTCTTCTCTTGCCTCCATAGCAAATTGTCACAAAACCAGATAAATACTTCCAAAAAATACTTTACCAGTATGCTGCAGGACAAAGATTTCAAAAACAGAGCTGACATATATCTTTCAACACTGAATTTTATCTTTGTAATGAAATCTACAATTTTACAACAAAAATCAATTTTGGATTGCATTTGAAGAAGTTTTAGATTTATGTAAGCAGAAATTCCGTATTAAAACATGAGAATGAAAAAATATCTTGTTTATTCTGGTCTACTTTTGACTACCATCACTCTAACTCTGAATAAATACTGAATTACTCATTATCCCAGCCAGGATCACTGGGTGATCCTGCAAATGAGAGTCTTGATTTCTAGTGATTTCAAGTTACACAATTATTTCTCAAGTATGAGCCTGGTCAGTTCGTGAACAATTGATATTTTGGAATCTGATGAACCTAAGCAATTTAGCAAATATTCAGCTGTTTTGTTAAAGCTTAACTTTATCCATCAGCTAAAGAAGCATTCAACAAGCCCAATACAAATGGTCAGTGCAGCCCCTCTGGCAAGAGGAGACCACAGTGATGTGGCAGGAGTAAGAGGCAAACCAGTTAAATACCTTGTGTTACTACGGGTGTTCTAGCCTCCATACAGATAAAGATTTTGAAACCATAATGTTGAACGTGTACTCTGAATACCATCATCATGAGATATCCTGAACTACCTTCCCTTCTACATGGAAGTTTTGAATGTTTTCCAGGGTTAAATTACACCCTACACTTGCAGTTCTCAGCAGCAAATGCATATATACTAATTTCCCCTCATATTAGTACATTTCCTTACAACCTTTAATTTTCCTAGCACTTTATCATGATATGGCATGTCTTTCAAACTCCTTGTCTTCCTGGAGCATTATCTTTATTAAAACCTTTTAGCTGGCAATGATTATCCCAACATTTACCATGAAATTCAAGCTCCCTTGCTTACAGTTGCAAATACATTTGAGGGCATTCATTTGTTTCCAGAGGGTATCAAAGTGGTGTTAGAGACTATCAGGTGTATTTAGGCCTGCACTGTATCAGAGACTACAAGCATTCATGCAAGCCAAGTGAACAAGTTGCCTGAATGTTTTTTCTCCTTTTTACCAGTTTTATTTAAAATGAAAAGCAGCTGTTTAAAACTTTAGAATACCTTTTCATTGCCCTTTCTAATTACTCAGAGCAATTCTGCATTTCAAATGCTGTAAAGAAATCTTTTACAGGGTAAATTAAAAGGCTTTTAAAAAGCTTCTTCAAGGGCTTCCATTCTGTTTGCTAAAACTCTCCATTCTGTTTTTTCGGTCCTTGAACAATGAATTGAGATTTGATTTTCTTATTTGTATTTATTATGCCACTTTTATATTTGGGATATGATTAAAAAATTACAAAGATAATAATAGCACAGTAAATAAAATCATATATAAAATATTGCATATTTGGCCATAACCAAATCAGCATAATAGATACTATTATCAGAAGAAACATATTTCTAGATAAGAGCAATTTTGATTGGAAGGCTGATTTTCCGTGGGTGTAAAATATCTCCTCAAACTACTTTCTTATGAGCTCCAGCTTTCTGAGAAATTCCTTTTAAGAAGAAAAACCAAAAATCTCTCATCCTCAATGTGGTGTTCGTTATAAGGCATTAGACAACCACTGTGCATCTCTCAGCAAAATCCAAGTAATCTACAGAATTAAAACCATGAAGAAGTTTTCAGCATTGTGTTTTAAAAAAGATACATTTAAAATGCAGTGCTTCATGGAATCTTTTACTAAAGACCACATGTAATTAAAAACATAGTGAAAATGAGCAATAAAATGTTGAGAATGATCATTTGTGCTATAAAAAGGGAGAAAAATACTATCTTTCTCATACAAGCAGTCATGAACAAAGATTTCAAGGAAAAGGTTCAGAAGTAGAAAACCAAGAACTGGCAAGGAAGGTGGTGGAAACTGCCAAGTATTCACATTTTTCCTGTGTCATTCTGCTTCCTTGCCTTCACTTCACCTAAGAACTTGTAGTGCTAGATTGCTATTGAGTGCTAAAAGAGGGGAGATTGAGGCTATATGTTAGGAAAAAAGTTTTTACTTAGAGAGTGGTGAGGCACTGGCACAGCTGCCCTGAGAGCTGTGGATGCCCCATCCCTGAAGGCACTCGAGGCCAGGTTGGATGAATCCTGGGCAGGCAGAGCTGGTGGGGGGCGGCCCTGCTCATGGCTGGGGGTTGGAACTGAGTGGGCTTTAAGATCCCCTCCAATCTAAGCCATTCCATGATTCTATGATTCTATTAAAAATAGAATCAATTACAGCAGCAATAAATGGATATCAACCAAATATCATCCAAAAACCAAAGGAAAACTGATATAGCTATGGAAAATTAGACTATTTCTTAGGATAATTTACATGTGCATTATTGACCTTCATTTTACACATTAAAATGGAATAACATGGATTAACAAAAGCAAAAACATAACAAAAAACAATAGCATTTGTTTGCTCTTAGCTTGCAAGACATGAGTAAATAAGGGAACTTGGAAGAAATATACATATATGTGTATGTATAGCTTGTATAACTTGTGTAAAGTCACATAGATTTCTTTAAATTAACAATGTCAATACAGAAATGTTATTTAAAACAATGAACTTAAAGAAAAAAATAATTATACAATATTCTGGGGAAAAAAAATGAACCAATGGACCCTCTCCTTATGCTAACATGTTCAGTAAAATTTTTACCAATATGATATGTTTGGAGAAAGAAAACCTCTGATAGAACAGATGTCTGTCTAAAGGGCAAAGACTTCAGTGTCAGTATGTAGCAAAAATAAAGACAATTAGGAACATACGGGGGGAAAAATCATATTACTTGCAGAATTCGTTGCAGCTTTTCCACATTAAGTTAGAGGAGCAGAATTATTTTCTGTTATTGGCTTTTTTTGGTTTTTTTTTTTTTTTTTTTTTTTTGCCAAGCATACCAGGCAGTGTACTTGCTTCTGTTTCACATTTGTCTTACGAACAATGTGAACCTGTGGTATTTCAGAAACACACCAATTCCACACTACAAGTCAGCAAAGGAATATCAGCCATGCCAAAACATGTAATGCCATAGTGCTATCAGCTTTGCTGTATGAATTTGCACAAACATGTTTTCCAATCAAAACCAGAGCAGGCTACAATCCTGCCAGCGTCCAGCACTGTGTTACACAGCACACATTTCATCAGATAATACTCTTCTATCTAAAGCACTTAGTAGCATCCAGTATTGTCATACCCAAATGCACATACGTAATCTTTTGTACTGGGATGTAAAACACACCAATACACACCCAGGACTAAATTCTAGTTTCAAGAAGAAAACAATAGCATCCCTTTCTCTCTTCGCAACCACTGCTCTTACGAGAAAGAAGACTAAATGCATGCTGCAAGTAACTTTTTGTCTAAAATTCTTATCTTTGCTTTCACTAGAAGGCAACAGATGCATGCTCTCATACAAGTTTGTCCTTGAATACCTTCCTGTACAGGCACCATGGAGACTGTCTTTCAATTTCCAGTTAAAACAGTCGAAGTCTTCCAACAGTCTCCATCAGTGATAGGACTCAAGTAGTAATACAGGAGCAGGATCACATTTCCTTCTCCTTTTAGAAGATTTCAACATGAGTGCAACTACAGGAGACCAGAATTAACATAGCCCTTGAAGGACAGTATTTTTTTAATTTAAAAAATGGCTCTGAACTCACACACATGTAGTGCGCATGTTTGCAGAGCATGGTGTCTCCTGACACACTCCAACAAAATTATACAGACAGCTGCAAATCACATTTTGCACGCACAAGCTTTTCACACTCAATTCATACAAACATCTTGTCTCTGAAAAGAAGCCCAAGTTCATAACCTGTAAAGGAAGCGTTTTCTGCATGCAAATACTACCAAGTTGTCTGTCAGTTTGTTCAGCCCAGAGCAGAGGAGCTGAAGGGAGACCTCATGGCAGCCAACCACTCTTCACAGGGTGCATTGCTCTCTGATGTCAGTGACAGGACAGGTTCTAAGCTTCTATGAAATGTATACCTATACATCTACCACTCAAGTGTTTTTATTTTGCTAAAAACTGAAGAAAACACCTCTAAAATATAATTCATATAGTATTTCTTTATCATATAACATGACATGAAGAACCAATTCAGACCTGCTGGGTTTGAATACACAGAATGCACATGTGATTTCTTAAAGAAAGAATTTCATTTCAGAGGGACTTGTGGATTTATATATTTTTAATTTATATAATTTTAATTTTAAGTGCTTAAGTGTTTAAGTTCTTAATTTTCCCAATTTTACATTGATCAAAGGTTATTCAATGCATATTACATAGCTGCTGTAGATCCATGTTACCAGCTGAGGTTGTAAAGCCCCTCTGAAGATTGCCAGCCTCATATTCCTGCATCAGGCAGGGTCAGTGAGAGCAGAAAAAAGCCTGGATTCATCTTTGCTTCCTGGCATCTAGTGTCAGATAGATTTCTCTTTCCTTTCTTCCAATGTAACAAAGTAAATGTTCTGCTAATTATTCCTATGATTGTGGGAGACCACTGCAATCAAAAGATGGGTATATTGTGGATTGTTTCTGTTTGAAATGGCACAGCATTCAAATTTTCAATGATCTGTCATATAGAATTGACAGTTGCTTTGTGTTTTTTTTCCTTTTCTGGCAGAAAAGAAAAAGGCTATTAAAACGTCCAAAAATTTCAGTTGAAAAGTAGAGAATTAAGATTTATATATATGGCTAGTCTCCTCTTGCATTCTGCATAGTTAAATCTGCAGCTTTTCATCTGAGTTGTTATGAGAAGTACAAGTGCTTCTTTTTCCTGTAACCTGAAATAGGAGCAAAAGTTTCTTGCAAGTTAAGAAACACACAGTAATATGGTATAAAAGGCTTTTCTACCTGCTTTTAAGTTACAGATGAATAGGAAATTCAGCAGTTCAAGTAGAAACAAACAACTGTATTGTCCTGTAACGAAGGCACTTTTTCACAGAAGAGTTAAGGAGGAAATGGAAACATAAGGACCAAAGAAACTAACTGCTATGGTAATATATGTGTTTAAAGGAGGTGTCTCTGTGACAGCTTATGCTATGCTACATGTAGAGACTCAATCATTCCAGCCTGAGAGGTTACTACTCTGATAACTGATATTTCTCACCCTGAAATCACTAGATGCTAGCTAATGCAGAAAAGATACCACAATCATGTGCACTGCATGGACAAGGAAGGGCATGCTTCTATTATTTTGCCTATATGAAAAACAAACATTATGGGAACTTCAAATAGACACCAATAGACAGGTATCTATAAGCTGCTGGTTAATAAAGATAAGAAGACAAGCCACGACAGAGAAAAGCAAGGCATAGGGGAAAAATATAGAGGAATGCTGCTGTAACCTACGTAGTTTTACCAAATGAGTATTCCTAAATGCTATCCTTCCCCCCTGCCTCAGCTTTGTTCTTTAAAAATCTATATTACAGAGCAGTTTTATAATGCTTTAGATATTTTATATATTTTGTAAGCATATGTATCTATATACAGAAAAATGTTATCAAGTTTAGCTTTTAATGGTTCTCAATTTTCAACAGCAACAACAGCTCAAAATTCATCTCATCTACCATCACAGAGCAAAAAAGGACTACCTTTGATAATTAGGTTCCAATTTTATAGCCATATTTTACCTGTCTAAGTCGGATGTCAGTCTTTCAAAATTCTTAAGAATAGTCAAAACCTGGACATCTTGACTGAGAAAGCAAGGTGGCAACAGTCCATGGATATTCAGCTGTTGCCTTTCCTCCAAGGTAAAAGCCATGCCCTGCAATAAATATATATATGCATGAGAGAGATATAGATGGAGAGATATCTTTCAATACAATTCTTCAGCAAAATACAACACAGGTGAACTCAGCATCAGAAAAAGAACCTATTTAATACTAAACATAATTAAAAGTTATGAAATTATTCTGGAAAAAAAAAGTTTATTACTGAATACAAGAGAACATTCCTGCATAGTGCAATAGCTCCATTCCAGAACAGAATGAGTTAAAATCTTCCAACACTGCAGTATTATTCCCTGCAAAGTTATTAAGCTACAGCTCAAATACAGAACAACAGTTCACAGGTTTTGAAAGGTGAATGAATGCTCTTAAACACTCATTTGTTTGGCTTTCTTCACACAGAGCATGGATAATGTTCATTTCAGTGCAAACATTATGATCTTAATATCTGAAAGCTTTTCAAGATCTGGGTAATGTCAGGTGTTCACGTGAACTTTTAACAGAATGCCATAGTTTAGCTGTAACTACAAAGTAGTTGTTATCTTTTTATAGTCAAAGAAGCTGATCCAGAGCCTGGTGAAGTCACTCAACAGAAACATGGCCATTTGGAGTTTGGTATATGTTCAGATCCAAATTTGTTTTGTTTTCCAAATTTGCATTCAGCTACAGTAAGAAAAATCTTGTTTCAGACTCTGGATTTCTTCATAGCATCCAGAAGACTTTAAAAAGTAGTTAGAATGTTAAATAGATAGTCATAAAACACAATGTTTGCAGCTTAAAAATTGGTAGACAGCCAAATATCTGGCAAAAATCTGCTTTTAGAATGAGATATGTTTGTCTAAAATATATTCAGAAATTACTCAAGCTATTGAAAGAAATAGTATGCCTTTAGAGCAGAAAGATGATAGTGTGTGTAGTACATCAGTACCAAGGGTCCTAAACATTAAAGTTTGCTTTGTAATAGTAACTGCAGCCAGAGAAGACTGTTGATGAAATCAGATTTGTGAGATAAAAAGAAACATGATAGGGTTTTCTCTGTATATGACCTATCAAATCAATACATGTTTCACACTATAACCACTACATGAGGCTTCACCAACACATTGTCCCACTTCCTTAGCATCCTGCCTGCCTTTCTTACATCCTTGGAGCATGTCTTGCAGATCTGCAGGTGTTCATTCTAGGTTTACACCAAAAATTTCTGTAATGTACTATCTCTGTAATATGTATATCGTGCATCTTAAACATATTTAAAATATAACATACTAGAGGTTAGAAAGCATTTATCACTCAACAAGAGAATATATGTATTTGTATACCAGTAAAAATAAATGAGCTATTAGACAGTTGCCTAGTCTTCTACACCTGTTGTACAAAACATATAAAACATTTCAGTTCTTCCAAAAACAGAAAAAATAAGGAAACCTTGGGTGTATTCATGGCACAAAAGAGGAAAAAAAAGAGCAATGTAATATGTTTGCATTCATTCTCCTGTGGACAATAAATACTACTATGGTACCTCCACACCTATCTCTGTAAATATAATTTCAAAATTTCTTTGTTCATTTCACCCTTAGAATTAGCAGGTAAAAAAATGATGAAAAAAAAAAGAAGACAACTGCAAATGCAAAAGGTACCCTTCACTGTACCAACTACTCACATTGTTTCATGAAATCAGATTCACAGTCCTCTATGCAATACCATTACAGCCTTTTACACATCTAGTGATGAAATATGGTGTGTTGGTCTGGATAGTTTGATTATAGGGACAAGCTCCCATTTTCAGAAATGAACTTATTTCTACGGAAAGAAATATACTACAAAATTGTTTTTCTTCTTACTGTTCTATGCTTCTTATGCTAATTTTCATCAAAATAGTTTTCAAGTAGTTACATCACAGCTGACTGAAAAAAAAAGAAGAAATAACAGCAATTCCATCACTGTCTACATATTATCTGCATTTAGATGGTACACATTTTGTTCACACTGACTGCACTACAATGCCATTAATCGAGTTGTTACCCCTAAGCACAAAGATGACCACAGAACAAGGAAAAGAAAAATTCACGATGAACGCTTTTCAAAATGCCAAACAATTCTGGATCTATTGGATATAGTCCTTTCACACAAAGAGAGTGAGTGAAAGCAAGTTTAGTAAAGGCCAATGATAATTATTCTACAGCTTTTCGTGCATATAGGTACTCAGGGGTTTCAAAAGCTGTGTTTTTCCTGATCCAACATCACTTTTTTGTGGCCCTGTACGCCATGAGTGACTTCAGCTGCCATTACATTTTGAAAGACCAACAAAGAAGAAAAAGTTAACACTCCTCAGGGGTTCCAAAGTTGGTTTCTCTATCCTTAGAAGACTTCTTTTGCCCCAGGAAATACATAAAAGCTGTGCATGTACGCTCATGAACACACACCCTTCAGCAGCAGTTCCAAATGTTTGGACTTAAGAGAGCTTCACAGTTTCAGTGGATCAGCGCTGACAAAAAAGTGGCAAGCCAATTATTCTCTGTTTCCCTCCTCTCCTGTGCGTCTTAGAGAGGATTCTTCTGAAAGAAAGATTTGTGCTTACCTTCACTTTTAGTGTTTGTGCTTACATTCATGTTTAGGAAGAAGATATGAACTTTAATTACTACTCTGCAATTTGCATTCTTGCTGGAAACTATATTTTAAAACAGACACAAGAAAAGTTACTGTATCTTGCCAAGTTCCCTTTTAAAAAAGTGTTTCATCTTGGAATAGCATATTTTCTACATGTTGCTACAGCTCCTACAGTAAATGTTAATTTCTTTTGGGCAGTACTTCAAAAACACAACACTCATCTATACCTACTATCCTATACATGGTTTTAAAATTCTCTGCTTGTATACTCTTTAGAACAGATATCATGAATTTTTCAAATGTATAGGATGGAACTTTTGTTCCCTTTTTCTCTGATACTTTATATGCTTACAAGAAAATAATTATGATTGAAACACATTACATGACGATTTAATGAGAAGGTCATACACTTCTCATACACTGTTTTATCTTATAATACGGAGAGCCAGCCTACATACGTTTTGTGGCTTAGGTTTAGATTTCTTGTACTAGTTTTTCATATTCAGTTTTCTACTGCAGGATTCTTTGTATTTGAAGTGTTGTTTCCCAGCCATCCAGCAGAGAGTGCTCTAAGTTCAGCCTGGCTTACATACTCCTTGTAGAGAGCTAATTGTGCACACACCTGGATGGGGCAGGCTTCCAACCTGTAAACGTAGCTCAACTATAATAGAACTGTGGACATTTTCATTTTGCACTCTGTATTACAAATAATTTGTTCAAGAAGAACAATAGCGTGGCAATCTAAAAACAGCATGAGATCAAGTGACTGCAACTGTAAGCATTAAACTTTACCTATATTCTGTTCCTTCTGTTCACTGCTTTGTGTCTTCAGAAGGCAACATATATACCATTGTAATCAGAAACTGAGTTATGTTTAAGTCTCATGGTAAGAGTTTTGAAGTCTTAAATGCTTTTGTCTCACATGCTTCTTTAAGCATTTTGGCTTTGGGAAAACCTTGAGTTCTTCTTCATCCACCTCATTACCTGCCTTTCTCACAAATCATTTGGCAGAATTGGCTTTTTTTTATTTATTTTTTTAAAACTTTATTGCTCCTTACACATAACTCCCACTCTCAGTTTTACAGAAAGTTTTTTTGTGTCTGTTTTTTTCTTTTTCATTTTCAAGAAGTTCAACTCATTGCAAATACATTTAATTCTGAATTCATCACTCAGATTGCAATGTTGTGCAATACTTTTAGCAATTATTTATATTAATACACATTGTTCAGTATTCTTTTGTTGTTTAATCTTTATCAGTTTATTAACTCAGCTCTTGGCTACGTTCTCTGCCCAGCCTCTATGCTTTCCCACAACCCACTCCCTTACATGCTTGTTTTCATGCAATTGCACATCAGTTTCCTTGTTCAGTAGCAGCCATATAACAGGAAAAACAGAAAAACAACGCTTTGAATCAAACAGTTTTTTGCACCAGCTTTCAACCAAATCGATAAGTTCTGTTTGAGGAGACAGAGGGCACATTCAAAACATTTCAAGAGCTATCTCAGTCTCAGTTCACAGTCAGCAAAGAGACAAGTTCTCTTAACACAAATTAGACTTCAAAGATTACATTAACTCCTTAAGAAAAACTGCACCAAAATTATGTGTGCATGCTGTTTATGTGCTAATGAGATTCAGCTCCATCAATGGGTAGCCAGAACTACCTCAACAAAATGTTCATCTCAGACATTCTCCTTCAATTTCTTTAAAGACCTAGTACTCTTTTGTTCTAGTAGGACAAAATGCCCATTTTTAGAAACCTGTATCCATTCAGAAAAAAAAGGCTTATCTCCACCTGCAGGTCTCACTGTACACAGCTCTTAACCTTACAGCATGTAGGACTATGTTGTCTTAAAAGATGAAACTGTGCTCACATCCAAGGGTCTTAGAAGTAGTGACTCTTTCTTCAGCTTCTGGTCATAGCAAAGTCCAGTAAGACCTCAAGTCATCCCGGAGACTCAGAAGACAACCTGCAACACTAACATCCAAACTCAAGTGACAGCACAAGTAGTTGAGTATAAATGATCTGTGCAGGGGGGGAGGAAGAAAGGAAGAGGAAACTAAAAAGAAAACGTATTTAGAAGTACCATTTAGTTTACAAGAAAGAGTTTCTGGACTGCTGATCTAAGATACTACTAGATAAAAGTCACAGTCTCTAAAATATCTTGGGGACAGAAGATAACAGTTGTTCATTGCCTCAGAGCCAAGAAAAAGTAAAAAACCTCTCAATTAAAAGATCTTTCCACGTATCAAAATGCTAAGAGTGAACTAATTTCAACAGTATCTGGAAAGAACCACTCAAATCCAAGGGATGCAGATATGCAGAACATCTGTGGCTGCAGCTGGAAGGAGCAGAGCTGGCTCCAAGCCACCGCCTGCAGCCTGCTGCTGGAAAAGCCGGTAACTCAGAGCAGAGCACAAGCATTCTGGCACA